TAATGACTTGTAACGCTCGATATTGGCGTAAATAAAATTAGAACGTTTGCATTACGTGGGTATCTCAAAACATTTGGCACCAAATTCGAAGTTTATCAGCACTGAAAATGTTTCCAGTGAACCGGTAAATACAATAGTATTCAAAACAAACTCAATTAATTGAAACCATAAGTTTATCCAAACAGTATGAAATAAAACATTGTATGCAATTCGTCCGCAATTAACTTTTACATTATGTGTTTCGAAATACTGGACTCGGCTCTACATCCATAAATATCTCACTCATACTGTTAAAGTTGATTTATTGGAGTTATAACGTAAATAATCTATTCAAAGTTTCGCATATTTGTTCTGTTTTGATATAAAATATTAAAATATTTAGAAGGCTTTTAGAATAAACTATGTATAAAAAAATTCACCGCGCCGTTGTTAATATTAATAAAAATTTGGAGGGTTAGGGGAAAAATCAGGTGAGTTAATTTTTGTCCAAACTGAGAAAAGCACGATTTAATGTTCAATATGTTACAAAAATAGAGTACAGAAACTTGAAAAGTAGAGTAATAGAGATTTGTTAGAACTTGGTAAAGATATTTTTATTAGATAAAATACCATTTTAACGGACAAACGTACGAACTCAAAAAATGACTTGCCTGGTTCTTTCCTTTTTTGTGCTGGACTTGCCTGCTGTGTTTCTTTTATAGTATAACTCAGTGGCGGACTAAGCCTGTCGGGGGCCCGGGGCGGCGAAGCTAAATGTGGCCCCCGGTCTGTTTAGATAATTATATACTTCTAATGTACATTTGTAAAAATTGAATGACGTTTGTATAATTGTTGACAAAATTTAAGTATTTATACAGGGTGTCCCAGGCTGAGCCTGCATTACAAGTTTCTAGAGAACTACAATATCTAGATACGAGATTTTGTGCGCTGCATATCATTGTTTCACAATGAGATCTATCGATTAAAGATATTTTCAATATGGCGGCACTTTTGGAAGTACCGGAAGTTGAGAGCAACTTTCTTATTTTAAATGGGTGACCCCATTTTTTATTACATACTTAAATTGTCTGTAAAATTTTATGTTTGATATTACACACTCTATGCCTAACGTTTACTGTTTTTGAGAAAAAAAATATTTATAATTTTTGGAGGAAAAAAACTGCCTGTCAAAATTATGGATATAGCCTAAACGTCAAATTTAGTGATTGCCACAGCCACTGTACCATAAAGAGAAGACATGTGGCTATCTATGTCAAAAATTAAATTGTCCGAATGTCATATAATAATGGCCGCACCTGTCATGGAATTGAGCGATGAAAAAATTATCATAAATCATTTTTTTTTCAAATGGAAATCTACTTTTTTATTTCACTCGTGAAAAGGCTTTCGTTACTTTCGTTTTTAAAACTTGTTACTTTTTGACTATACATGTTCCTGTACCGAAAATAAATCGTTTTTAAGTTATTTAAGATTTAGCTTTAAAGCGTATATTTTTCTTGATTTTAACCAGTAGCCTATGACAGTATATTATCGATCATCATCTCCAAGCTAACTTTGCGCTGTTTTTTTTTCGATCGTACGGTATATTATTAAAATATCAACTATTAGATATCACTAAAGAATGAAAATACAAGATATATTTATATAAATACACTTTTTAAACTTTTAAGCAGCAGTAGTTATAATATAGGAAATTCAAATAATTCATTTTCTGACAGATGGAAATAAATTGTCTGACTGTTTGACACTTAATGTCAAAGAAAGCTAGATAAAATCAAGGAAAATATACGGCTTCAAACTAAATCTTAAATAACTTAAAAACGATTTATTTTAGGTATAGGAATATGTCTAGTTAAAACGTAAAGAATTAGAAAACCTTTTCACTAGTGAAATAAAAAAAGTGGGTTTCCATTTGAAAAAAAAATATTTATGATAATTTTTAATCGCCCAATTCCATGACATCTACCGCCATTATTATATGACATTTGAACAATTTAATTTTTGAAATAGATAGCCACATGTATTTTCTTTATGTCACAGGGGCTGTGATAATCCCTAAATTTGACTTTTAGGCTGTACAAATTTTTTGACAGGTAGTTTTTTTCGTCCAAAAAATTTAAATATTCTTTTCTTAAAAATGCTTCCAGGGAAATACCGCTACAAAATATCGTGATTTTGTAAGTCGTCCAAGATCCGAGGGGCCCCTTCGCTGTCTCAGGCCCGTGACCCCCGTTATATTAAAGACTTCACTTCTCATCATCAGTAATGAAGCTAGAATACAAGTTATATGCTGTGCAATGATTGTAATTTAAAATGTTTATTCAGTAAAAATAAATAATGAAACAATTGAAAAACAACTTAAAAGCTAAAATAAATAAATTCAGTCTCAAAATATATAAAAAATAATAATTATTCGATATTTTAAACAAAGAAAATGATTGACTTGATTTAATTTTCTAAATAGAAAATGCCATTGACAATTCCTGGGGCCTGATAATTGATAATTAAGTAAATATCTGCTTCCATTTATACTGTTTATAGTTGGCGTATACGTATGGTTTGCATACTTCACCTACAAACTGCTTTATAACTACTAAACACATATTGGCCCTGTTTACCAGTTGAATAAAAAATTACTTATTAAGATTCGGAGGCCCCCTAAAAGACGGGGCGCGGGGCGCGGCCTATTACCTACGGCCTTATTACCTACGATTTTTAAACGTGAGTTTATTTTTGCGCACAGAAAATTTTACTCATTTGCTCATCGTCATAAAAAACAATTTTCGTACCACGAATTAGGGACAAGATTTTTATCTGTATACATAATATAGTATACCTAATCTGTGGTTGCCGCCTTGGGATGTTTACCATGATTCCATCAAAAAAGTTTTAAACATTTCAAAGATTGCTGAGTTTTTTGAAAAAAAAAAATGATTTTTTTGAAAATTATAATAATATTAATTTAATAATTTTATTAAAAATTAATATTTTTTTATTTTTCCTTCCTTTTTACAAAAACAAAAATCTAATTACACTTTCTCATAGTCACTTTATCAGGGCTATCTGGTAGTATTTTTAGATCTTCAAATTAGCTGATAATTTGTGAGATACAGAAGCCAACTTAATTTTTTTAAATACGGACCTGCATTTTATATTTCAGATTTTGAAAGAACTCGGTCTCCTGAGTACAATGATATGCCACACTCTATACTTTGTTTTGTGTACCTTAACAACAACAAAACCGAGAACAAAACTATTTATTTAAACTAATTTCAAGTCCGACTCTGGTTTTTTAAATTATTTAATCTGATCAGCGCTAATTAACATTGAATAAGGAAAATCGAGCCAATTAACCCAGATTCAAATAAATAATATCCAGATCATTAATTTAGTATTACATATTTTTAACTTTTTTTACTGTAAATTTGAAATTTCAGTGTACGGTCTAATACTCATAATATGCATAATATTAATCGTAGTTATTATAAATAAATCAACTTCTACAAACTAGTTTCTAATGCTCTACATGTTTCAAGGGTTACCATCCTTCCTATTGCACAAATTTATTATTCGTTCAATTTTGTTTATAGCTCTTTGAACATATCTTTTTCTTAAACTTCCAAATGCATTTTGTACTCTTTATTGTTAATGTTGAAAAATATTGATTTCACTTTTACAGATGATCAGATTTTTTATTTTTTATTGCATTGATTTTCTGTATCCAATGTTTTACGCCACATCATTGTTAAGTTTAAAGGTTTATCAATATTGTAATGATGAATAGATTAAAAATATTTAACAAAACAGAGCCGGAATTGAAATTAGTTTAAATAAATTGTGTTCAAATGTCCGAAACAAAAAAAAATATAAAGTGTGGCATATCATTGTACAGGGTGGCTCGAATTCGACGCTCATCATTGGGATTTCGGAAACCGTAAGAGATACAGGATCGATTAAATGGAGGCAAAGTGGCGCAATTTGTTGCTCAATAAAATGCCGTATTGCATTTTGAAAAATTCCGAATACTTCCGAATATATTCGAAAAAAAAACGGAATTTTCAATTTTGTTTTCTATTGTTTCCTGGCTTTATTTGTTAAGATACAATACACATTTTCATGGCCACTTCTTCTGCTCTATAACTCTGTGTGATTAAATATTGACTCTGATGTTTCGGCTTCTGGCGACCATAATCAACTTAATTTTTTTAAATACGGACCTGCTTTTTTTTCAGTTTAATTAAATCCTTTCATCACTCTTAAAACACTATATATAGTCACTTTGATATTTGCCGACGTTTCGTACAGAAACTTCCATCACCAGAGTATTTTATGCAAAAAAAAATAAAAATAAAAATGCAATACGGCATTTTATTGAGCATCAAATTGCACAACTTTGCCTCCATTTAAACGATCCTGTATCTCTTACGGTTTCCGAAATTCCAATGATGAACGTCGAATTTGAGCCACCCTGTACTCAGGAGACCAATTTTTTTCAAAACCTGAAATAAAAAATGCAGGTCCGTATTTAAAAAAATTAAGTTCGACTCTAATTAAGTGTATCTCACAAATTATCAGCTAATTTGAAAATATAAAACTCAGATAGCACTAATAAAGTGGCTATGAGAATATGCTATTAGTTTTTTGATTTTCTAAAAAATAACGACAGGAAAAAATAAAATTGATTTTCAAAAAAATCCGTTTTTTTTTAAAAACTCAGCAATCATTGAAATTTTTAAAACTTTTTTGATAGCATCTTGGTGAACATTCGAAAGCGCAACTTTGCCCCAATTTAACCATATTCGTATCTACTAAGGTTACTGAGATACCAATGCTCGTACCTCGAATTTGTAGCACCCTGTATATGTAGTATATATATAATGACAAATAAAAAAATTATTATAGGATATAATAGTTGAATTTAATCCGAAAATGATGACAATTCTATCTTAGAATATATTCAATATGTATATAGTGTCTTATTTCTCTTATGGGCTATTTAGGTGGTTATAAACCAGGTCCGGCACTTGGACATTTGTGCGGTGGGTGCAATACATCCCTATCTGGCGAAGAACGGTCTAAAATACTGCACCGATACTCAGAACACACCAAAATTACTAAAGTTAGAAGTAATCCACATGATTCTTATAAGGTAGTCCAAGATGATCTCATGATGGAGGTACGACGTTATATTTTATTTTCCACAATAATAACTGCAAAATATCAGTATTAATAATACTTTTACTCTGCATTTGCATTATACTATATTAAAATTTCGAAAAAATGTTAATATTAGAAAAATATAAATATTGTAAATTAACAGATTTTTACAGGGCGTTTCAAGAAACATGTGCCATCTCCCGTGGGAGATGTATAATTTATTAATTTTAAGATAATATAATTATTATATATTAATATAATATATAATAATTATATTAATGATATAAAAAGATATATAATTTATTAATTATTATTTATTATTTTAATTTTATTAATTGCGATTAATAAAATTTCGTTTATCTCATCAAGGTGGCCGAATTCGACAAAATACTAAGAGATAACTTTTAATTGGCATTAAACGGCCTACACAATTTTCATATCAAAAGAGAAAAAGTCACTGGCGCACATGCTTTTTTTTTTCGAAAAACAGTAAAGTGATAGATAACCCATATACACGTCCCTCTTTTTTAGCATTAAAATGTGTGGCAGGAACTTATACCCTCAGAATTTCACTCGAATCACTAAAATTACTTGGAAGAAAATTATAATAAATTGAAGGATTATTAAGACTTTAACACCCTGTAGCTGCGAAACAAAGCAGAATTGGACCCAGATATGAAAAATAAATGTTATTTTTACTTAGGAATCTCCCCACGAGAGATGGCACATGCTTTTTGAAACAGCCTTTATATGTTATAACCATGCAGATATGTAATAAGAATAATTGAAATGCATTTAATATTAACTATATTTTTAGCATATGGCCGCATATTCGCCCATATCAGCACGATCTCGTTTTAATATTAATATGCAGAGCGGCCCAATGAGGAGAATCGACTCGATGGCTAGCTCCATTGGAGCCACTTCTGTACGGAGGCTTCTGGCAGTTGTTCGAGGTGGTCCCCATAGTAATTCCGGAGGTACGCAAGTTAATATTGCTTAATGTCCATCTACATCTACTTTAAATGAACTTACTGAGTGAAATAATTTTAGGTCATAGCATAATGTATAAAACAATACTATGTATATTTTCCAATATGAAAATTTTAGAAATTAAATATATATTGTGCGATTATTATCCACAAAATTCTTCACAATTTTGTAATTATCCCGTAGCACAGATTTTAAGGTACAATCTTGTTTTACATGAAAACAACTGTATGCTATAGGCTTGGTGCATTCCAGTTGATTTCGCTCAACAAGGAGAGCATAATTAAGGCGTTGCTGGGTGTAATAACATTCAATAACTCAACTTTCCCGGATATTCAACTCTCCCGAAACAACATTAAATAGAAAAAATTAAATAGACATATACTATAAGAGGATGAAATATAATTTGCAATATTAATGATATACTTTTTTAATCGACTAATAATTAAATGTTTTACGAGCATCTTCTAAAATTATAATTATGTTTCTTTAAAAAATTTCGTTATAGCCGAAATAGCTCCAATTCTGACCCACTAGCAAAACCGGTGATAAAACTATGCTCGCTACCGTAATTGAACTCGTTTAAAAAAATTTAACTGGAATAATCTATTATATTCCAAGTTAGACCTTCGGAAGATATCAAAGTATTTACCTCATTTTTTTGTTTAGAATTTCCACAAATTACATTATCTAACACTTTTAGAATAATTATATACTAATTTTTTCTTTTACTCGCCATTTAAATCCGTATATTTGTATGTATTCGTTATTTACGAGTTCTCCGGTGGTGGCAGCACCGGCGGAGAATGCACCACGCCTATAGCAATAATAAAACTTTGTACTGCATTATTAATTCTAGAATTAAAATAAAAGTAGATTATTTTAATAGTGATGATATTTATTAGTATCTTCACGATTGAAAATATACACACGTATAAAAAAATAACATTTAAAATTAGTATTGTTACTTTGTTTATGTAATATTTTTTATAAAAAATTCTTCAAATAAAAGTCGGGTTCTAGCTTTTGGCGTGTGTTCTGATTTTTTTTTAGAAATATCATTTAAAAAAAGACAACAAATTAGAATATCTTGTATCGGCATTTTTTATCAAAATGAAAAGCACACACGTTAAAATCTAATATCTAAATTTTTGTTTCAGGTCGCACATCTGGAATCGTGTATAGTAGAAAGGCTCTGTTAGCTAATTTATTTATTATGTGCATATGCCATCTGCTGTCCACTGCAGCTTTTTTACCATTCCTTGCACTCCAAAGTAGTGTATCAGTGTGGGTACAATCTCTAACCAATGTCGGTTTTCAGTTTAATACAGGGTCTCTACTAAGTTCTGAAACTTTTTTGGTAGCAGCACTGTTTTCGTTGCTAGCTCCATGTGTTGTAAGGATGATTGGATTTACCATTGTATGTGCACTTTGTTATGGTAAGTAACAATTTTATTATTATAAAATTAAATTAAATATCAAATTTTTAAGCATATGAGTTACGGTGCACCAAAAAAATATATTTTTTTTCTTTTTAATTACCGTGAAAATATCGTTCAGGATGATGAATAAAAATTCTGGTTAAGTTTGAGCTTTTAATATTAATCTTAAGAGATGCATCATCCTGATTTTCTGTTTCCCATTTAAATAACATGAGGAAACGAATTCTTTCTTTTTTTGTAATTTTATTGCTTTTTAACAAATCAGCCTTTTGTAAAAATTAATACATATGTATAATCGCAAAACATTTTCATCAAAACATGCACGTCGTCAATCATATCGACATTGACACTAAAGTCTATAAACCTGACTAAATGAAATTTTGGCAGAAATGTTTAAATTTGTTGTATAATTTAAGATACCGAGCAGCTCTTCATTTTTCTTTACAGAGCAAGTGATTGCAACAGACATTTAATTTAGATTAAAGCTGCAAAAATTAGTTTAAACCGAATTTTATTATCGCTATGTTGGTCACATTCTGCCATGTTCAGCAATGTTGTCCTTTCTTATTTGACAATTATCCTAGTGTCAGTCATTATTTTGTATAATATCGTGTTGTTGTTGAATCGTTGTGAGTAATTCTCGTTTTTTGCCTATTTTTATAGTATTTTTTTAAAAATAACCTGTATAATGATAATCCTGTATAATAATAGCAATACTACAGTTTATAAAAACACAGTTTATGCATTAAAATGGATAGATTTATATACAGTTTGCTAAAAAAATCATTAAAATAGGGCTAAAACTAAAAAAAAATATAACACTAAAAAATATAAAACTTGTTCCATTGCATTTTTTTTTGCATCTGAGTGTATACAGGGTGTTTAAAAAAACTTGTGCCATCCCTCGTTGGGATATTCCTCACGTAAAAATAAGACTTATTTTTCATATCAACATAGGTCCGATTCTGCTTTGTTTCGTAGCTACAGGGTGTTAAAGTCTTAATAATCCTTCGATTTATTATGATTTTCTTTCAAGTACGTTTAGTGATTTGAATGAAATTTTGGTGGAAAAAGTTTCAATAAATTCATCATGTGCGCCACTGACTCTTTTTCTTTTGATATCAAAATTATGTAGGCCGTTTAATGCCAATTAAAAGTTATTTCTTGATATTTTGTCCAATCCTCCTTGATGAGATAAACGCAATTTTATTAATCACTATTATTATTAAAATTAAAATTAAAATAAAATTAATAAATTATATATTATACCTAATTTATTATTAAATATTATAACTATTAGTTATTATTACCATTAGTCTAACATACAGCAATTTCAAATAAAAAAGTAATGATATTTAAGATAATTACAGAAAACCTAATTTTAAAATGTTTTAACATCCTGTAACTCTAAAACTATGCATTTCCATATCCATGTTTATAGGAACTTTTTTTCATATTTTTTTGATGAGGAATCAATTACTTATTTAAAACTTTCGCAAGTTAATGAATATTAATTTTTTTAAAGGTTGCTATTAGACTTGGAACAAGGCAAATTAATAAAATTGCGTTTATCTCATCAAGGAGGCCGAAATCCACAAAATATCAAGAGACAACTTTTAATCGGCATTAAACTGCTTACACTATTTTGCTAACAAGAGAACAAAAGTCAGTGGCGTACATGCTTTTTTTAGAAAAATATTCCAGTGATAACCCATATGCACGTCCCTGGTGAATATGTCGATACTTTTTTAGCTTTAAAATATGTCGCATTTATAGTTACTTTTACCATCAAAATTTCATTCGAAACGCTAAAAGTACTCGGAAGAAAATTATAATAAATAAAAAATAATATTAAGACTTTAACACCCTGTAGCTACGAAACAAAGCAGAATCGGATATATTTTATCAAATAATAAAGTTCTACTCAGATCAAATAAGCATGTAAATGAAAATATCTAGGAAAATCTTTGTTTGAGGGGTAGGCAACCTTAATAGTATTTTGAAGAGACATGAATTCTCCATTGAATATCGGAATAATATACTGGGTGTTCCGTTTAAAATAAGAGAGTAACATGCTTTTAAAGGTGACCAATGTTCAATATTAATTTTGCCTCACCCTGTATAACTTTTTGGATGAAGTTTTCATTTGATTTAAAATACAATAGTTAATTTAACAACATATTAGGCTACACCTGGTAAATTCCAATTTAGGTAGCTTTTATTGTAATTTAAAAATTGTTCTTTATTTCTAGAAAATGTTAAATATGTCAAAAACCTTACATTTTAGTCATATACTTCTCCGAGGGTTATCTCACTTGGGCAGAAAATGTACATGTACTGCTAAAATATCACTCTACCGCCAAGCGACTGCCAATGCCTGCGAAGAAGACTGCCTATGACTGCCATGTAATTATTATAGGCGACTGCCGTAAGACTGCCAATGACTGCCAGCGACTGCCAAGAAAATGTACATGTAATTCCAATAGTGAGACACCCCTCGTACTTCTCTTATAAAACTCACCTTTATTTTTCTCCCAGAATCCGAAAATAAATTAATATATAGAGTGTTCCATTACAAAAAACCGCAAAAAACACAACTTTGATATGTAACTTTTTTTGGGGACATTCTGTAGACCTCTCTATATTTTTAAAAAGTGCTCTCAGTTAACCTACATATGCTCACAAAATTTCATTTCAATACAAACTGTCGTTCTCCTTGAAGCCTCCGCGGCGTATGAGAGGCGCCACCCTGTATAGTCGATGTTTCGTCTTATAAACAGGACTATTTTATGGGTATTTAGGCTACTCAGTATTTTAATAACTGTTTAGATTTTTGTACAATGTTGTGTAGATCTTTTCGCATATATTTGTAATTATTTATTATTAGTTATCATTGAATGTACCCAGATAATGTAAGTAAAATGTTGCTTCCAGCTGGTATGGTAGGTTTCTTTGTTGCACATCTTTATCCTGTGCTGTATACGACAATACCAATAAGCTTTGTGCTGGGAATCATTTTTGGATTATTGTCGAGTGCTCATATTTCGTTTCTCATGATTTTGTCCCAGAAAATAACTGGACTGTTTCACGAAGAGGATGATGATGGAAGGTTTGCAAGAAGAACCTGTGTTATTAGAAGAGTGGCAAGGGCATTTCAGGTATAAAAATAAATACAATTTTTCTGATAATATGCTTTAGAATATAAACTACACACAACCAAACTTTCATGGATATTTTTCATAACTTTTGAGACGTAAGAAAAAAAATTGTGTTTTAACAATAAAACTCAGTCCTTACCAAAGGCTTTTATTTTAATTATCCCCAATTGCAGGTCTCCAAAGCCTAACGATTGGTTCTAGCACTAAATCAACATACCTCCGACCAGTTAAAGTTTGTTGAAGTGGTAACAATGGAGTTTTTGCTCCCAGCATAATACCTCTCCAGAACATTACAGTTTCTCCTTTATATTTTGGTACAGATTTGGCAGCCTAGAGTCTCGCTTGTCTTCCTGGAGCTCTGAGAACCCGAATTCGAGGGTCTTAGGCCAATTCTGGTCTCATCCGAAAAAAGAACATTTTTCCAATTCTCAATTGTCCAGATTTGATGTTGAACGTACCAATTTAGCCGGTCAGTTTTATTTTGCCTAGATTACTGTGGGACCCGTAACTCCCTCTTACTGTACAATTCTCGATCACGAAGTCTTTTTCTTATGGTTTCAATGGAAACGTTCACACCTGTAGCTGCCAGAAGTTGTTTTTGTAGCTCTGGATGAGAAACATTAAGATTTCTTCTAGCAATTTGGCACACAAATCGGTCTTGTTGTTCAGTTATGACTCTTTGACGACTCTTGGCCTGTTCTTGAGAATTTCTAATTGCAAGTACCTTACATATGTTTTCGATACAACACCCTGGGTAACGCCTACTATTTCTGCGACGTCTCTTTGAAGCATTCCTTGTTCGGTGAGAGCATTAATTCTTCCCCTCTGTACATCTGTTAATCCAACATAAGTCATTTTTTTATTTTTTTGGATCGAATGAAAATTACCGGACAATCGTGATTTTACTACTGAACACAAAATTCAAAAGAAAATAAATCGCAGCACTTCTTTATCCTTTATTATCATGTTTATTTACAACAAAAAACCTTATCTTAATGTTGTATACCAATTTTTTTCCTCTGTACCAATTTTTTTCCTCTGCAAAAAGTTTAGTCAGAAATAAAGAGTGATTCCATATAAGTTTGGTTGTGTGTATATTAATTAAAAGGATTTTTTATGGTTATATAAAAATATTAAAAACTTCTATGTACCGAATATATATTAATAACAAAATGCATTTTTTGGAATTGATCTAGATTGAATTTATATAAATTATTCTTAAAATGCCTTATTCGTCATATTCTCAATTTAACTTAATTGCAGGGTGAGTCTTGTGTGCAAATAAGTGCAAATCTTTTTAGGGGTAGTATATGTCCACTCCAGAAACACGATTATGATTGTTTTATCGCGGAAAAAAATGCATTTTTTTTAGTTTTTAGTTAAAAAACATAATTTCTTGATAATATGGCAACATACGTAATAGATTAAATTTACAAGAAATAAAACCCAGAAAAGATCGAGTGGTTCTCAAAAGTTAGGCAAAAAAAATATTACTTTGAAAATTTCAAAGTAACTCGGTTATTTTGGACTTATTTAAAACATGAGAAAAGGGAAAATATGTTCCTTTTATTGAGATCTACCAGCCCTGAAAATATTTGCACCTATTTAAGACTCCCTCTGTATAAGTGCAAATATTTTTGAGGTAGTAGATATATTGCAAGCCCAGAAACATGTAGGTTTCTTGCGCGAAAAATAATTGAAAACTTGGAATTTTTGAAAAACAAATTTTATTATTTTTTTATTTTTTAATTGATAAACATAATTTCTTAATATTGTGTCAACATAAGTAGTAGATAAAATAAACAAGAATAATAATCCGGAAAAGACCCATTTAAGCAAAACATAATTTTTTTCAGCAGAGCTCATTGCCGGGACTGTTTTAAAGAATTAATAATATTGACTCTTTCTTCCTTATTTATATTTGAATCCGTTTGCCTAATACGTAAACATGTATCAGCTTCTCAAGAAAGGCCATCTCACACTTATCCACTCAGGAACGCGGAGCAAGATCTTTATCTACCTACCCCACGCTCAGAGTTAGTTAAAAGTTCAATATTATACAACTCGAAAAAAATGCACAATCACCTACCATTTGAAATCAAATCCATAACATAATTTCTTTTCATTTCGCAAAGCATTGAACTCTTATTTACTAGACAAGGGCTTTCTACGCCGTAAATGAATTATATTTTGAAAATCGAATTTGATCTTGTAAACACTGGTCTAATGTTTGCTATTGTTATATTTACTAATGACATCGAAATGAATTTATTTAGAGGTCATTGATATTTTACTATAAACTAGCTAAATATTTTTGAATATTATTTTTATTTTTTTGTTTTTTGACATTGTAAACATTTATAAATGTTTATTTTAACAATAAGACTGACAATATTATTTGTATAATGTTTTGTATTATCTTTTGTTTGTTTGTTTGTTTGTGTACCTTGTTTTTTTACTTTGTTTGTTAGTTTACCTTTGTCTACAAATTGAAAAAATTTTTTACAATAAAGGCATTTATTTTATTTTTTTATTTATTTTTTGTAAACATTACTGCGTTAATCCAAAAATAAAAAAAGTTATTTTTGTTAAAGAACATAAAGGTTATTTAAGAAAGGGAGATTTTCATAAATCTAAGATTTGTCAGCATTCATGAGACACAGGGCACAGAATAAATTTTAATAACGCCAAAATTATAATGAAATTAGCGATAGCCTCTAAAAGAAAAATATAAGAGGCTTTTTTAATACAATCTAATAAAAATAAATGCATTGCTCATGCATCTGTAGATGTTAGTAATGTATGGCAATCACTTCATTGATTTTAAAGAACATAACATAAATAAATATAACATACGTAAAAATTAAAATTAATCATACAGAAAGTTTGGGGTTTTTTGGTTTTACCTTATTAAGGAATTGTTATCAGGCAGTAATTGTTAATTTTGAAGTTTAACTTAATATAATGTCATTTTAACAGAACGTCAACGGTTTTTGTAGACGAATCTGTTTTAAAATACTAAAGTGTTCTCGAATAGTTGAATTTAAATATTTTAAATAGTTTTTTCTTTATTCTTTGTATTTTTTTTGCTTCCGCCGATGGAAAGAGATAAACTGTCCGAAATGTTAAGCATTTTTTTGTTCATTAGGCAAATTTGTATAGTATCTGTAAACCTAACTTCTGACAAGTAGTTTCCGTTTATTTATTAACGCAGAAGTGTTTTAACAAAACATAACTATTTTATTTTGTAGATTTTTTTGCAGTGGCGAAATATATAGGATTTTTTTGGAGAGATGAATCCGCCACATAGGTATAGACATTTTCTATGTTTGTTTTATCGAGATCTACCAGCCCTTAAAATATTTGCCTTTACGTAAGACTCACCCTGTGTATCATTCCAATAATTTATTTAGTACTAAAGCGCTAAATATTATTTTTAGGGTGCAAATGATTTTGGTCTTATACTAGGATCAGTAATGTCATTCCTAGTTATACATTTTACAATAAATCTGGGTTTTCATGTTCCTACAATAGAATCGGAAAATGGTACAATAATTACAAACGTAAGTCACAGATATATATAAAGTCACACATATATTTTTAGTATGGGTATAGTTAATGTTACGGGGTGCCCCATTCTGGTTTAAATCATACGGTATTTCTGTTATTAGTGAAGATCGGACGATGCGGTTTGTACAAACCGTCCGACTTTTTCGTCAAACATCAGCATTTTTTGAAGAAAATCAGACTACGCCACTGTATCCTACGTAAAAACTTTTACAAAAAGCAGTTTTCACCTTCTCGGTACCTTTCACATTAACAGAGATACGGGGTGCTTCCCAAATTGAAAAATTTTCGAAAAGTTCCTGTAGCTCAGAAACGAAAAGGGTTATGAAAATTTTGTTTATAGCATCTTCGGATTATACAGGGTGGTCCGAACTGTATTTCGGAAACTTCGGCAGTATATTCTGCAGATAAAAATAAGTAAAAAAGTTCGTATAAATGTATGCCTTAAAATGCTTAGTTTCGGAGATACAGGGCGTAGAATTTTCATTTTTATTTCGATTTTTTCCAAATAATTGCTGAAGTAACTTCAATATTTGAATAAAAATTGGTGTCTGGGAGTTTTTTGACATGAGACATTTGATTTTGATGTCAATATGATTCCTATTTGTAGGGGGCGCTACCTAAATGTATTTTAAATGTTTTGAAGAGTAATAACTTTTTGTCCGTACATGTATAAAAGTACTGAGTAAAAAAATATACATTTCCGTGACTTTTAACGTAAAAAATATCTCTTGGTAAAAATCGCTACGAATAACCGTTCTCAAGATATTTAAAATGGAAATAGTCAATACATGTCATTATTGACAAAAAATTAACACATTGAGTAGACAGTAGTTATTTGACTGAAATAATAAATTCGCGAAATTTTATTTTTTTTAAATTAATCATAATTTTTTGGCGAAGAAATGCTGATAAAACAGTTTCTGCTGAACTTTTGGCACAAAAACATTTTAACCAATTTTCATCTAAATATATACGTTCCTTCACAAATTATTTAGAAAGAATCGAAATAAAAATGAAATTTCTACACCCTGTATCTACCAAACTAAGCATTTTAGGACATACATTTATAGGAACTTTTTTACATATTTTTATCTGCAGAATATGCTGCCGAAGTTTCCGGAATACAGTTCGGACCACCATGTATAATGTGGAACAAACACCCTGCACAAAATATTTCTTTTTAAATTTATTTTATCATTCATTTTTTTCATATTTTTAGGACTGCATAGTCAATGGAACTGATACACCCCTCTCTTGTTTCAATCAAAGTCAAACAATCATAGTCTCTTCTTCGAGCCCTTATGACTACAATTCTTTCCTAGATGACATATTTGATAAAAGCGAAGATGGCAGGCTCTGTGGAGCTCAGGCCTGTCCTATTTTTCTCCTGGGTAACTCATCTTTACAATCAGGTTTTAGAGTACTGCCGATTAACTCCGCCGAAGTGCTGGTAGCAACTTTCGCTGGCGCCTGCGGGATAGCTTTTTTACTTGCTGCCTTTGGATTGGACAAAATCAAAATTTTGGTAGGTTAATATACTTAGAAGAAAGCATTTTTATTTTATATTTTAGATTTATCTCTTAGTAGGGCTAATTAAAAACATTACTCGTTTTAATCGGACATTAATTAAATTAAATTCATGCCCTGAAAGAATGAGCTTAAAATAATTAGATATTAAAATGGCAAAGTTTGTAGCGAGAATGAAAATATACAGCGTGTCCCCAGCTGAGCGTGAATTAGAAGTTTCTAGAGAACCACAATATCTAGGTCGGGGATTTTTTACACGTCATTGTTTTACAACGAAATCTATCCATTAAAAATATTTTCAATATGGCGGCACTTCCGGAAATATCGGAAGTTGGCAATTTTCTTATTTTTTTAAATGTGTGCCCCATTTTTTATTACTTACTTAAATTCTCTGTAAAATTCAATGGATATTGATGTTAAACACTCTATACCTTAAACCTTAACACCTTTATACATTAACCGTTTTTGAGAAAAAAAATATTAAAAATTTTTGGACGAAAAAAACTACCTGTCAAAAAAATTTGTATAAAACAGCGCAAAGTTGGCTTGGGAATGATGAAAAAACCAAACATAATGCTTTTTCAACAAAGTGTCACAATATGACATGACCAAATCTATTGTTTTACATCACTTGACGTTTAAAGTCATAGGTTACTGGTTAAAACCAAGAAAAAATATATGCTTTAAAACTAAATCTTAAATAACTCAAAAACGATTTATTTTAGGTATAGGGACATGTGTAATCAAAAAGTAACGAATTTAAAAGCCTTTTCACTAGTGAAATAAAAAAAGTGTGTTTCCATTTGAAAAAAATGATTTATGATAATTTTTAATGGCTCAATTCCGTGGTAGCTGCGGCCATTATTATATGACGTTCAAACAATTTAATTTTTGAAATAGATTGCCACATGTCTTCCCTTTATGGCACCGTGGCTGTGGTAATTACTAAATTTGACGTTTAGACTATACACATATTTTTGACAGGCAGTTTTTTTCGTCCAGAAATTAAAAAAAAATTCTCAAAAACGGTTAATGTTAGATATAGAGTGTTTAATATCAAAAATCATAAAATTTTACAGAGAATTTAAGTATGTAATAAAAAATGGGGGCACCCTTTTAAAATAAGAAAGTTGCTGTCAACTTCAGGTATTTTCTGAAGTGCCGCCATATTGAAAATATTTTTAATCGATCGTTGTGAAACAATGATGTGCAAAAAATCTCCGATCTAGATATTGTAGTTCTCTAGAAATTTCTAATGCACGCTCAGCCAGGGACACCGTGTATATTGTTACTTAAAAGAGAACTTTAAACACAAAATTTTTACTAAAAATTATACCTATTTCTTGAAAGGACACGCGGTACATAAATATCTCAAAAATAATAATTATATTATAGAAAATTATTATTCTTTGACATTCACTCAATTACATATATATTTTTGAGACTACAGTAATGCCCCGTTTTACGCGGTAGATGAGTTCTATAGAAAGTGGCGTAAAGTGGAAATCGCGTATAACGGGGTTGAAATACGTATGTCATCATTATAGATTACGTACTTTTCCAAAGAAGCAACAGACCATTGAATATTTTATTTCTCAGAATACATTTGGTTATACATTATATTAATTATTAATAATATTTATATAAATTAAAATAATCAATTATTTTTTAAATGTGACATAACGAGAGGTGCCTTTAGTAAAAAAATAAACATGTCCTTTTTACTCTTTTTAAAGCATATATTGTGGTTTTTGTGTAAACAGACTAGATAAGGATATACGCCGGGTTGGCTGTAGAATACCCTCTCGCAAATATAACCAGTTTCTCGCGTAATTAGCGTAAATCGGGGTAGCGTAAAACGGTGTATAACTGTACATAAATCTTGAATTTCACATAATTTTACTATTTCTGATTCACACTTTATAAATACAATAACTTCTAATTTAAACTATTGTAATGGTGCTTAATCAACAATCTTTATAGAGTACCTACTAATTAAAAACAAATGTTATAAATAAATGACAAATATTGATTTGTTCCACTTTACAAAAATATATTTATTTATTTAGTTACAATCCAAACTAAAGTAATAGTTTTTAGGTCAGTGTGGTGCAGTTTTTAAATATATAATTCTATATTTCGTTTCTAGACATACCAAGATCCTCTAGAACGAGGAGTTGGAATGGCTTCCCTGAGAGCAGTTAGAGAAAGTTTTAGAGATCCAAGACTGCAAATGGCAGCGCCGTTAGCTGTCTTTATTGGCCTCGAGCAAGCCTTTATATACTCAGACTTTAGCAAGGTGAGATAATTATTATTTAATACATACATTGTTTTGGATGGTAGTTTTAATTTTTTTCTGTAACTACCTGTTTACAGAAGTGTACTCGCGTATATTATTTTTGCATCAGCCATTTGTAAAGTATTATTTTGTATAGAACTTAAAATAAAAATGAAAATTGTTTTCTAATAAGCTCTAAATATAAAAACAGTAACAAAAATCTAGTTTATTGCAAAACTCTCTTAGTTTTGTTCTTAGTTTGACTACTATATAACGTTTTATTGCACAAAAAGCCAAAATAGCTTCATCGACAAAGCATTTAGAAAACAAAAGCACAAAAAATATACAAATAATAAAAAAATATCATACGATACAAATCATACAATTCCAAAAAAATTACGTCATTAAAATTCCTACATTAATACATGGACATTGCAGAACACAAAAAAAGGCGTCTCAATAAAATTTTACAATAGGAAAATTGTAAATAAATATAATCATTTAAGACTCATAAAATATTAAATACTAGACTTTTAACCAGTGTGTGAGATGATCAAAATTTTAAAATTCAAAATTGTTCTTGATTAAACATCAACAAAAAAGTTGTTTACCGCATATAGGGCTCTCTCCAGTAATTATGATTTCAGAACTTTGCGAAATACGGGAAAGAACGAAAGCGACTTGATATTCAAAGGCAGATGATTGTAGATTTTTTAGCATGTACAGGGTGAGTCAACGATAGAGTAAAGTCCATTATCTCATTTGTTTCGAGGTTTACAAAAAATGTTTAAATATAAAGGTTGTAGAGAAGGTTAAGATACACATTTTAAAATTATTATAGAGTATACAAGGTGCGTCAAAAAAGTGTGGCGGATATAACATATGTTTTTTTAAATGCAACACCCTATTTTTTTAATTTTTAGATTCTGCGTAAAATTCCATAACTTTTTTTATATATAATGTTATATACCTAAAATTAATAGTTTTTGTAATATTTTAATTTGTTTAAACAAATGTTAAATTGTAGTGTGGTAAAAATTGTCAGTGGTGCCATTGTTCCTGAAGTTGCAGTACCAAAATTTGGTAGAAGAGTTTTATAGAGATGAACAAAAAGATATATATAAAGATATTTTAGTTAAATGATACAGGGTGTTCAAAATATATTTATGAATTTCAACTACTTAAAATTAAAAAATCTCAAATTTTTTAAATGGGTCACCCTATATATTATCATTTTTTCTGATAGATTTTACAAAACTCTTCAACTTTTATTAAGTATGTCATATACCTATTTTAAGAAGTCTTGCGATTTATTCCTAATTTTTTCTATTTTACCCATATTTTTAATACAATTACTCCTATAAAATCATAGCTGCCATGACAAACAAACTATTTATTACTTAACAAGTTTATTTATTCTTTAACAAGTAGCTTAATAATTAGTTACAATTGCTGGTATTAGTTAAAATTAATTATCTTTACTCAAATAAACTAAAATCGCAGTCGTGAATTTCTTGGTGTAAGTATTTCTATATTATGAAAGATGACACTACCCAGATTAGGGTAATACTAGATTACCTAATTGTTGAAGACAACTGATATAGGAATTTTCTTCGATATACAGTAGTAGTATAAGTTTTTTTTCTCGTAGTAATTCTGGTTTATATTTTATTTGGTAAAGCCAATATTACTACTGCCGCGAAACCGCCCCATTACACACTGAAGATGTTTTCTAGATAATCTACATCTATTCTTATACTACTTAGCAAAGTACTATATAATATATAGTACTGAACAAAGAAATATATTTTTTTGGCTCGTTCGTGTATATCAGTCACCAATCACATTGACTAATTAATTCCAAGAAAATCTGTAACTATTATCTCTACAATTTATACTTATTACAACAAATTAAACTAAAATTCAAATTTTGTTCTTAACTTGCTTAACAGACAAGAAAGTTTGATAATTATTAATTTTTGTCATGGCAACTATGATGTTATTGTAATTGTATTAAAAATATGGGTAAAAATAGAAAAAAATAGAATAAATCGCAAACTATTAAAAATAGGTATATGACATGTTTAATAAAACTTGAAGAGTTTTGTAAAATCTATCAGAAAAAGTGATAATATATAGGGTGTACCATTTAAAAAATTTGAAATTTCTTAATTTTAAGTAGTTGAAATTCATAAATACATTTTGAACACCCTTTAGCATTTAACTAAAATATCTTTACACAGGTCTTTTTCTATATCTCTATAAACTTCTCCTACGAAATTTTAGTTCTCCAATTTCAGAAACAATACCATCACTGACAATTTTTTATCACACTGCAATCTAACATTTGTTTAATCAAATTTAAATATTACAAAAACTATTAATTTTAGGTATAAAACATTATATATCAAAATGTTATGGAATTTTACGCAGAATCTAAAAATAAAATAAAAAATAGGGTGTTTTACCACCCTGTATACTCTATAATAATTTTAAAATGTGTATCTTAACCGTCCCTATAACTTTTATATTTAATATTTTTTTTGTAAACCTCGAAACAAATGAGATAATGGACTTTACTCTATGTATATATATATGTTATATTGGTTTTCCATCGACCTTTACACCTTTGCCGGTCAAGCACACCGATGGCCACATCCTGCCAATCGCCGCATCAGCGATATTGCGCCATCCGCAGTGGAAATCGCCGTAGCCGCGATCACACGGTGTCAGCAAATCAATTCTTTATTTAAGCCAATGTATTGTAATAGAAAAACACTTATAATTTTGCATTTAATAAAGCACGTTATAATGTCCGTTTAATTTTTGATTTTTAAATAATAATTTTAATAAAAAAATAAATAATAAAATAATTAAAATAATAAAATAATTTACAATTAAAAAATAATTTTTTAAAAAGTGAAATCCTCCAGAAGCATCATAACAAATTGGCGCAGTCGTGTGTAGGATTCGTAAAACGCTGGAACAAGAAAACAGCGGCGGATTCTAATCCCTTAACGAAAAAAAGAACCGGAGAACCCAACTCGAAGTACTAAGGATTAGGAACACCTGGTGAAGCCCCTGTTAGTCACGACGAGAACACGGCAATCCATGGAAATAATATTAATGTAAGTACAAGAATTTGTCACGTACATTTTTTTTGAAATCTCTAAAATAAATCTATTTATTTTTCGAAACTGTTCGATATTTCAATATATTCTTTATAATACAGTATAAAATAAAAATAAATACAAATAATAATTTTGAACGTAGTTATAAGAAAATATTTTTATTTAAATATTAAGTATATTTTCTTTTTGAAAATAAAATAGTTGAGTATATTTTCGAGTACATTTTATAAAAAAAAAAAATAAAATCAGTAAACATTTAAGAAACTAAATAATTTTATTTAAATTATTAAATAAAATATAATATTTATTAAAGAAAAATCTATCTAATATTATTATCATCTTAAATTAAAAATAAACAATCTTCTTTTCATATAATTTTTTTAAATCAAATACATTTTATTTTAATAATTTTTATTTCTATTTTATTTACTGTCAAATTACATTTTTCAATCTTTACTAAATAATGGCAACAGCTCAAGGTACAACCATTGAATTGGAAGCTTATAAACTTTCCGAAATTTTTTCAATCGTCCCTGAATACGAAGGCGACCAAATATTTTTAGGCAATTTTTTAAATGCGTGTGATTGCGCATATGATATGGCAACCGAACAACAGAGAGTTTTTCTAATAATACATATCAAAAACAAACTTAGAGGTAGAGCTGCTCAATTAATCAATTCGCGAAATCCAGCTAGTTATTCCGAAATTAAACAACTACTTTCACTACATTTTGGAGATTCCCGTGACCTATCCTCTCTTATCCAAGATTTACAAAGACTAAAACAGTTATCAGGAGAATCACCATTAACTTTCTTTAATAGATTACAAGTATTAAATGCAAAAATGCATTCTTATGTTCAAAAATCTTATTTAACTAGAGATCAAAAAATGGCTCAAACCGATCTAATAGATACTATGTCTTTAAACACTCTTCTTACTGGTTTAGAACCACGTCTAGGCCCACTAATTAGGGCAAGTAACCCTAATTCTTTGGTAGAGGCACAAAATAAAATTCGTAGAGAACTACAATTGTCATATTTAGAAAATCAAAAAACAAGTAAATCTAACATTCCTATTCTAAAACCTATCCGAACACCCTCTTTACCTCCTAAATGCTCAAACTGTAATCGTATTGGTCATTTAAGTAATCAGTGTAGACAAAATATTAATCGATCAAATTTTTCTCAAAATTCTAACCCTAATTTTTCTAGACCACATTTACCTAATAATAATAATTATAATAACAACTCTAATTCTAATAATAATTCCTCTCATTTTAATAATAATAATAATTCTCATTCAGCAAGCAAACCTAATACTTTTCAACAAAGTCAACAAAGAACTTTTAATGGACAAAATCAAAATCAATCTTCAAGACCTACATTTCAAAGAAATTTTAATCAACCCCAACAAAGAGCTCATCATGTAAATTTTGATAACAATTTTAATAATAACTATTCTTATGAAGAATATCCTAACTATGATCTAAACGATAATGGTAATTTTCAAGAAAATGACTATTACGATGAATATTCCTATGACACCCCTAATCCCGATAACTATTCGGATTTTCTCGATCTTACAACCAAAGACCAACCACCCGACACCCTAATACAAGACCCCACATCCGAAATTCAGACGCAGATACAAGCGCTGAATCTCGAAGATATGAATCCAAACCTGAACTTCCCAGAACAGAAGTTACTCTAAACCCTCTCCTAACAGTAAACTCCAAAAATTTATACTATATTAATGACTGTTCAAATCAATATAAATTACTTATAGACACAGGTGCTGGAATTTCTATCTTTAAAGAAAATATAGCTAAAAATTATCGCAATAGACGTCCCGAAAACATTACGATTCAAGGTATAACAGATCAAAAACTT